ATTCAATCTTCTTACCCCTACAATTAATAACAGCAGTATACTTGAAGAAAATCTTTCAAGAAATGCTAATCAAAGAAGAAGAAGAAGAAAACAACGGAATGCAAATAAAATATACGAACGAAGTATTCAGCTTGTTAAACACATCGATAATGAGGAGACGTTAAGTCGAATCTCGAACCTTCCAACGCAAATTACAAGTGACTTATTGACACACGAATTTTTCAATGGGATACCACTTATTTGAAACATTTAATTTGGAAGATTAAGTTTTGTCATGAAATGACAAAGTGAGAGATAAACGCTTCAACTTCATAAAAATATTCACGCATCAACTTATTGTAGTCATTTATCAAATATCTATATCAATTCGTCAATTCGTGAGCTTTGCGCAAAGATTTATTGCTGTGAGCTTCAATTTCTTACGAGCATCAACCTTAAAAAAAAAAAAAAAAAATTGAAAACGAATAGGATCAATTTTCGTGTAACGATCAGCCCTAGTGGTAAAAATCGACAGGAGTCGCATGATTGTTTACTGTTTGTTATCATAATTATGAGAGGCATGAATGGAATTTCTTAATAAATTTCTTTTTTTATTCTATCAATGTTTTTATTACAATCTTAACAGAAATAAAAGATATAATTATTAAATCATTGAAATTCAGTAAATTTTATTATAAAGAAACCAAATGCAAAAAGAAATTTGTCAACTTGAATAAAATTTTCACTTGTAACAGGATCTGAAACGATAAACAAATCACCAATTATTTGACTGGTAAATAAATATTGACCAAATGGCCCAAGCGTTTTGACAATATTTTGTGTCACTATGTCAATCCCTTCATATCTTGATTAATAAGTTAGGTTTGAGTTTAACTAACCGAACCGAAATCTTAAGAATTACGCCTATTGAATCCTCTGCAAACTTCGGCTCTCATAAAAATTCTAAAAAAAAAAAAAAAATATTTTTAATATTTGTCAAAATAATATTGAAGCGTGTAAGCAAAATGTGACATCGCGTTTATAACTTTTAAATAGCTCATTAATAAAACTTATTTCAACACTTACTTAGAAATATAATTGAATACATGTATTTAGTTTATGAATTGTTGATGATAAAAATGAAAGGTAATTTTACATCAAAATTTGCCGACCAATCAAATAAATTCTATTATGTACCCGTATGAATTACCTATTTGAGTTGAATGATACATTTCATTTTGGAATTTCTGAAAACGAATCTCAATTGGTCAATTACTGTATTACAATCATTTTGAAATAAGCATACTAGAAAATTTCGACCTTTTTCTTTTTCATAGAAAATTCCTATATTTGAACCTGACAAAAAAGTGAGAATTTAGTGGTCAATATAATCTTTACTTATATTTATTTATGTATTCATATGAAATTTCATTATAAATACGTTTTTCGATTTGAAAGGTTTCTTTTATTTAAAAAAAAAAAAAATAATAACGATAAGAATAATTTATTAAATGTCTTCAAACAGAACTTCAAATAATTCTACTCCTATAAGTGACGGTGGTTTTGGATCGAATTATTCAAGAATTAATAGACCACCAAACCCACAACATGAAGGGGGACGACGAGTATTAAGCAAAACACGAAGTCCGGTTAACAACCAAGACATAATAATTCGAATCGCATCCCTTCCTCGACAAATTACAGATGATCCACTCATAAATCAATTTTTTAATGGATATCTTTTCTAAGATTCATTACAAATAATTCGAGCTTTAATGCTCATAAGATGACGATTCATTCCTAACGTTCGCGTTACTGCGACATTGTTACACCTGTACATAAATTTTATGAAACCCTTTATGGTATATCGATTGTGAATTGCTAAAAAAAAAGACTTGGAAAAAAAATCCGATATTAACATAGGGACAAATCTGGAAAAAATAATTTAAAAAAAAGATATTTATAAATTATTATTATTTTTAATGTATTTTATTTAGATTATGAAATATTTATATATTGTGAACACTGTATGTAGAGTAGCTATTTATAGCAAAAGCAGTTTGTAATCACAAAAAAAAAATAAAAAAAATTTGTTTAAATAAATTAAAAAATTATAATTACTCATTCATACGACCTTTATTACCTCAGAATCTTCGCTATGAATTATGTGTACTTTGTTCAGAATTTAGATTCTTAGGTCTCTACAAGTGTTTATGAATTTCTTTATGAAAAGAATTTTTTTTTAGTTTCAGAAAAAAAAAAAAATTGGTGATACGACAACAATTAATTCAAAAGTTTCTTACTCATGATTATGTATGATTACTAATAATTTGATAAACGTGATTTTTTTTTGATAAAAACAAAAACCCAAAAATGTACAAGTTTGTTTTAAAGACAAAGGATAAACAAAAAAAATTTCCTTTTTTTATTCTCTCATAGTTGTGGGTGAACCGTGCATGAGCTTGTATAAAAAAGGAAAGTATCGACATGCATTGATTAAAATTTTCACAATTGTGATCTTTTTAACTTTTCAACGATTAAAATGATTAAAAATTAAGGTGCATAAAAAAAAATTATTTTTTTATGGCGAATTAGTTGCATAAAACAATAATTATGTAGTCAATTTTATACTATCAGTGGAATATTTTACCAGTTTGATGTCCCATTACACAACGCTGACTTTTATGTACGAAACAAGTGAATTGCTGTTTAAAGATCGGAATTTCCTAATAAAAGATAAATGCTATTATTTGTTTATTAATTTAAATTGTAACCCATAATTAATGTCGTTGCATAAGCAATTACGATGACAATAAATTTTGTCATCGCAGGTGGAGTAAATATTAAAACCTTCCAAATTTTAAATATGTTGTCAGCACAGTAGAACGAAACCTAAAATTGAAGCAAAATACAATTTAATCATTTGATTCAAACTTTCAAAAACTAGAAAATAATAAACTTTGATAAAGACACCATTGAATATGAGAAAGAAGCTTAATCTGTACATAAATTGTCGTGTAATAAAATACATAATAATCGTATGACTAGATAATAATATAACATGCAAAGTGAAGTCGCGAAATTATCTTTTTGCATTTGGTGGAATAGCCTTTTGTATATACGGTATGTTTCTTATAGGAAGGAGTAAAACGCCACATACATCACATATTACATGAACTTAATAAATAGTCCAAATGAGATAGATACCCCTTCATTGATTATGCGTAAATAAAATTTATAATATTTTATATTGATAACGTAATCATTCTTGTTTTTCTAATATAGTAACACAAATACTTTTTATATAGATTTATATTAATCATGAAGTAAATCCGGAAAAAAACCAAAACAATTATGGAAGCTGTGTGATATTTATTGATTGACTAATGATATTTTTTAGAACATTAAAAGGATGATGTAATCATCATTTCAATTATTCAATATTACTGCATGGATATCTTGCATTATCTATTCCAACAGTTTCATGTTTACAAGTTACAAAAGTTCATATGAGTGTTAATTGTTTTGCAAAGAATAATGTTAAACATAAAGTCGTGTAAGGAGTTCATAAAAGTACAATAAGCTTTGTTCATACAAATTCATTACGATAGTTTCAAGTGTCTCCAGTCTTGGATCACTACAGAGGAATGATATCGATTCTATTTAATTTTAAGCCTAAACATTATGCGTTTTAGTGCGTCTGTGATTGATTCATTTGTTAAAGCCATCAAAAAAATGTCGTTATGTGTAGCACAGGGACGATGTTTTTAAAATAAGTTTTGATTTTCGGTGGTGACATTTTATTGTATTAGAGTAACTTAGGTTTTTACCATTAGTTTATTTAAATGAAAAATTGTACAAAAAAAAAAACGTAGATCAGCCCAAATAATCAAACTTGGTAATAACGTGTGACGGTAATTTATATCATCGTCCCTGAAACCAAGTAAATCTTAATTCAATTGATACAATTGCTTTCATATTTCATGATTGTAATGATAAAAAAAGGCTATTAAGTATTATTTTTAAATAAAAAAAAAAAAGTTACTTGTCATTTTGTTGGTTTGATTCGAGGTATAAAATCTATGTACATTATAAATATAAGTGATTATTCATCACACCTCTCTGTACTTTATTGGAAACCAAAAAAATGTTATTTTTACCTTATGTTTCAGATACCATCATAAATCCTATTTATAAATAGAAATTTTTTATTTTAAAAATAAAACTTGTGCAAAAAGAATCGTATAATTAATTAAAATTTTAAAATTTTGATTCTAAATAAATACAAAAATTAATTTTTTTTTTAACAATTAATTTTGAAAAGTTTATAATAATTTATATGGGAAGTTTGCTAAGAAAATCAGGCCCCGGGAATTTTTTTGACTAAAATTAAGTAATAAAAATCAAAATTTTGTTAAAAATTCCCCGATTTTCCTAGCAACTACCCCATATAAATTTTTTTCTTTTTTTTGATTTTTTTTTTGATTTTTATATAATAATTATAAAAGTTTCTAATAATAATAAATATTTTTTAATTAAATTTCTTATTTAATAAAAAAAAAGAAAAATTGTCCAATTTTAAAAAATAACAACAATTATAACGGGAAAAAATAGATGGTTACGGCTATGATTTTGGAAATTTCTAGTTAATAGAAAACTTATATATAATAAACCTTGTTAAAAAATTATTATAAATTTATAAGAAAATGAACTTTGAAATCGATGGGACAGATAAATTGGAACCGAGTTCTTAGGACAGGTCCTAAACTCTAAAATAAGATTATTATTTGTTTTAAATAAATTTTTATTAATACATTATTATTAGAATGTAAAATATAACGCCAGTAAAATAAAAATCTTCTCTAGTACTGGCCAATTATTGGGACTTTTTAGGAACCGAAAAATAAAAAAAAAATTTATATAAAAGCTATAAAATGAAAAATAATAAAATATTATACATGCCATGCTTACTTTCGAGTAAGTCCACCCGAAAGCCAAAGATTAACGAAAACTCGAAATAATTGTTGCGGCCCGCAGCGATCATAAAAAATAGTAGATAAATAAAATAAAATTTTTGCCTAAATGTATTCATGTTAGCAAGCTTTAATTTGAATATGTTTTTTAATCATTTTTTGAATTAAAACATTACGTTCATTGATGATTTATTGCGGCCAGCATTTTATACATATAAGTAAATGAAAATGTGAATTCTTCAAGGACGTTTGCTTAGTTATTTCATATTTGAACAGGTAATCACAGATACATAATGGATTGCATTTTAAAATCTTCGTCTTTTTTTTTTTTTGTTTTCTTAACATAAGATCTACCGAATGTTTTTTTAAAAAAACTGAATTGTCCAGAATTAGTAGATCTAGATAGTAAAATTGTGATCCGTAAGCTCTGCAGTAAATAATGCACACATCATTTGATACTAATCCAAATACCAAATATAATACACAATTATGATATTTTGAGATCCATGAATAGTACCGACTAATTAAGGAATTTGTTAAAATTTTTATTCGTAATTTTTTAAAATTAATTATTTGAATAAAATCCCTATTGCAATCAATATACACTTTATATTCACTTTACTTTTTCAATGAAAGGGTCTTCAAATTCATCAAATGGCAAATATTTGCCTTGAGAATTCCTCGCTATTTATAGAGAACTTTAAAGATAAAATTTTGTCGCGAAGAATTTTTAAGGAAAATTCACGTCCATTTTCTTACTTTTTCGGGTTACACGTTAAATCCTCATTTTCCAATTTATCTGCAATAAAGGTGGATGGGTTTCGCTTGCGACAAAATTAACGGTGAAATTATTAAAGATAAAAATAAAAATAAAAAAAATCAATGATCTTGACTCTTAATCATCACTCATTCTAATTATTCGGCGATTTTTAAAATTTGACAAAAAACTTTGGTGACACCAATGACCGGTGGCTTAGAAGTTATTGTTACATGATTTACAAAGTGCATTTTTTTATTTTTTTTCCACCTTTCTTTTTCTAAGAAATAATTTGATCATTTCGCTATATCTAAATATCAAAATGCAAGCTGAAAATAATTCGAATGAGTGGAATGATTGGATTGAAGAAGCTGTCTCAAGAAAACTTTTCAAATATTATGAATACAAATATTTTAGCAATGTTCAAGAGATAGGTAATGGTAGCTTTGGAAAAGTCTATCGTGGAAATTGGAAAGGTTCAAAACAACATCTCGCGTTAAAATCCTTTCATAACTTTAATAATAACACCATGAAAGAACTTGTTCGCGAGGTAATTACAAAATTAAACATGTATTTCTGTCTATTTCTGCCTATTTGGTATAAAATCATCTATATATCAAGATAACATTTCAATTCATTATGATTTTAAGCTTGAACTTCAACGTGAGGTGGATTTTCATGAAAATATTATCCGATTTTTTGGGATAACTTCAAATCAAGGTAATAAAATCTTCATAATATAATATTGACTTTTATATTTTATTTTTACCTCATTGGTTTATTCATATATACTTATATACTGCATATATATTTTTTTTAAAAAAAAAAAATTCAAAAATTAAAAAATTAGAAAATCAAAATGATCAATTGAAGAAGTATTGGTTAGTAATGGAGTATGCTGATGGCGGTGCACTTAAAAGCTATTTGAAGGAGAATTTTCTTAATCTTACTTGGGATAAGAAATACAAATTGGCGTACCAGTTGGCTTGCGCTGTGTCGTGTCTACATAACGAAGGAA